GTATACATTTAGATCAATTAGAAATGGATATCAATCATTTGAAAGAAGCATTTGCGATTGAAAAAGGGTTGACTAAATCCGGGAAATTGTTATTGAAATCAAGTAATGCTTCTCAGGTTTTAACTCCTCGGGTACTTGCTGATATTATTAATGCCGAAAGTGGTGGAGAATTCGATACTAAGACAGCTATTCCTGGACATGTTCAACAAGGTGGATTGCCATCTCCAATTGATAGGACTAGAGCTGATAGGTTTGCCATTAAGGCGGTGCAATTTATTGAAGAGAATGCTGATGTGATTGGATCAATGAGATATGCTACTAGTTTTGAGAATGATGATAAGAAGATTATTAAGACTGCTGCAGTGTTGGGAATTAAGAGTTCACATTTGAAGTTTACTTCGATTAGACAATTGTATGATTTTGAGACTGAATTGGGAAGAAGAATGCCAAAGAAAGTATTTTGGTCAAAGACTAGAGATGTTGCTGATCAATTAGTTGGTAGAACCAAGAAGGTGGATTAACTGGAGTGTGTTTAGTTTGACTTTTGTTTTTATATATATACTGTTTATTGTTTTGTTTGAATATATTATACATACATTTTTGATTCTTTTCTTGTACGGTATTTGTAGTTAATTATTTGTAGTATTTTACAATTATCAACGTTCTCTCTCATATGATATCATATTGAATTTATTAGAGTGAAAAAAAAAGATCAGTCAATGGAATTGAACAAAGTAAAGGAAGCAAATAGGATGAGTAGTAGTAGTGAAATAATAAAACAAGCAAATAAACTACGTACAGATCTTGAACAATGTCAAAGTCGTAATGAATTAGTTCGACTTAGATATGAATTAAATCAACTTCAATTATCAATTAATATTCAATCATATCCCAAATATGAACAGAAACAAATTAATCAAATCATTGATGAATTATTTAAATTAATTCAAATTAAATTTAATCAATTAAGTTTGAGTAAGTTTGAATTCATCGGCCAACCTATACCACTTCATCAGAAAATACCTACCATACAGGAGAAGCCGAGAGATGAAGAAGAAACCAGCGGTGCTTCTGTTATTCATACAATAAAAGACGAAATATATGATATCCCATCCCAAGAACAACAACAACATATCTTATTATCGTCAATAACAAACAGTATAATAAGAACAAATACAAGCAATCCACCTGGTAGTATTCATTTAAAACAAGCCAAACAATCGATATGCCTACTTGAAAGTAAAGGACCAATCTTTATTCATGATATAAGAGATAGTATTATAATAATTAAATATTGTCATCAAGCTAGATTACATAATATTAACGATTCTATTATAGTCATTGAATCTGTTTATAATAATAGAATCATAATTGAAGATTGTTTTAACATTTGGTTTAATAAAGTTAAACAAGTAGAAATTGATGATTTTAATTTTCCAACTAAGGATTTACAAAATCCAAATTATTCATATTTAATGGAAACAAAATATAATGAATTAATGATGGCTGTCAATGTTAACAATGTTAATGAGATATCAACCGTTATTGACACTTATCTTAACAAGTAAGTGGGGATAAGAAGTATTCGGTAGTAATTGGTAGTGGAGTATCTATTGTATGTCCCTCGGAATATTTAATCAATTGACCGAAACAAAAAATAATTTGTTGTACCGAGAAAGACAGAATGTCCGAGAGAAATATGTAAAACACAAAAGGAAATAGAAATAAATGTGGAGTAAGACTAAATAGCTATAGAAAGAGTTTAATGTAGTACATTCAAAAGTAGATGATGGATATACTCTTTTATATTTATATCTGCATATTATTAGTATGTCAAGTACTTACTAATTAGTAGTTTTTTGATTTCGCTATTTTCCTAATTTGGACGATTTCCGCTAAATCCAGATATCCGTGAATTAACAAGTTGTACAAATATTCATTGTAGAACCACTGGGAATGATTTCTTTTATACATTCAAAGCGCAACAGCTTGTAACATTACGAAAATCAATTAAATTATTCTATTTTATCTATCTACTCATTTTTAACCTCGGGATTGATGATTAATTAAAATGTAAAGTGAATTAAAAAAAAATAATAAATCAAAGTATTTTTTTTTTGCAATCAAATATTATCAAAACAAAGAGTTAGGTGTCTGTCAATTCTGGAGAGAAATGCGAAGTCTTTAGTTCTTATAACTTGATGTCTACTCCTCTTAACCCCCCCTTGACACCTCAATCCAAGAAGTTGATGTTCACTTTCTCCTTATTCTTTCGGCATATGTTCCGTAGTTCCACTTCATATTGATTGCTTTTTTTTGGACTAAGAAATTTTTGAGATCGTACCCAGATACACCAGATCTATGTCTCAGACAGAGACAGAAAGACGGAAAATGTAAAATGTTCTAAGCCGAATACAAATCAAAATAGAAATGTCAACCGACTAAGACTATTCTGTCTCTTAATGCTTTCTATCACTGTCACCAAATAACTACACGTATAAAGTGACTAATATTGTGTAAGTATATAGTATCGGCTTATTCTTCCATTATGTCTTAGCTTTTCGGACAAAACTGAAAATCTGAAAAATACCCCACAATTGTTCTTTTTTTTTTCTTTCATCCCGAGTTACATCCATTCTTCAATAGTGAACAACAATACACCCGATCAGATTCAGTAATGAGTATAACCTCGACAATAATGTTCCCCCTCCACCCCACCTACCACTAGCCGCCAAACGTCAGACTCATATATAAACTACTTTGAATTTCCACCCTTTAACTTCAATCCAACTTTCTTTTTCTTTCTCCTTTTTCCTCTTCTCATTCATTTCTCAATTAACAAATCTACCCACCATGAGATTACCATCAATTGCAGCAACAAATTCAGTCTTTGCTGACGATGACAAACCATATGTCTTCGAAAACCCAAATGATTTACCAATGGAAACATTAGTCAACCATGTCTTACCATATCCAACCGAATATAGTAGTAGAGCAACTAAGATCCCTGGAACTGATGAACCTGGATACACCGAAATTTATAGAAATGCTGCTACTCCAGGATGTATAAAATCTCATTTAGTCCCTGGATTAGATACTTATCATGCTGTTTTTAAGTCAAGTAGTAGAAGATATAAAGATAGACCATGTTTTGGTGTTCATGAATATGATTATGAAAATGATCAACATATGGAAAGATATGCTACTATTAGTTATGGTGAAGCAAATGAAAGAAAGAAGAATTTAGCAGCTGGTTTGTTATTCTTATTGGAATGTAATCCTTTCAAAGATAATTCTTTAGAATCTCATCAAAAGATTACCAATCATGTCAGAGATTATAAGAAATATAATACTGATAATTTATCATTTGTTGTTTCCCTTTGTTCTGGTAATCGTGTTGAATGGGTTTTGACTGATTTAGCTTGTTCTTCCAACTCAATCACCACCACCGCATTATATGACACTTTAGGTCCTGATGCATCTAAATACATTTTAGAAACTACCGAATCACCAGTCGTTGTCGCCTCCAAAGAACATATCAAACATTTAATCGAGTTAAAGAAACAAAACCCAACCTCCTTACAATCAATCATCATGATCGTTTGCATGGATCCATTATCTAGAAAGGATTCATATCTCCACAAAATGGCCGAATCCGTCAACATCAAGCTTTTTGAATTCTCCCAAGTTGAAAAAACCGGTGCTATTTTCCCAAGACCAGAATATGAACCAACCAAGGAAACAATCTTCACCATCTCATTCACTTCCGGTACTACTGGTTCCGCACCTAAGGGGGTCCTCCTTACTCAAGAATCCGCCTGTGCTGCAACTTTGGCCTTCTCCTTACAAGTCCCTCATTCACAAAACACCAAAGAATTCGCATTCTTACCATTAGCTCATATTTTCGAAAGATGTATTTCCGCCAGTGTGTTCTTATTCGGTGGTTCAAGTGGATTTCCAAGATTAGGTGGTACTCCATTAACGCTTTTTGAAGATTTAAAATTATGGAAACCAACCTTCATGGCCAATGTTCCACGTATCTTCACTAAATTAGAAGCAGGTATTAAAGCATCCACCACCGATTCTGTTTCCGCATTAACCAGATCCTTATATTCCTCAGTCATCAATTCCAAACGTACAAAGCAAGCCTCTAAGGATGGAGAAAGGGGTAGTCAAATGATTTATGACACATTGTTCACTTCCAAGATTAGATCACTTATGGGATTTGACAATATGGAATTCGTCTTCACTGGATCAGCACCAATTTCTCCTGACACTATCCAATTCTTGAAAGCTAGTTTAGGTATTGGTATGTCCCAAGGTTACGGATTAACCGAATCTTTTGGTGGTGTGGCTATGTCAGCACCATTTGAAGCTAAAGTCGGTACTTGTGGGACTATTTCTCCATGTTGTGAATGTAGATTACGTGAGATTCCAGAAATGGGATATGGTGTTAATGATGAAGGTGGTGCTAGGGGTGAATTACAACTCCGTGGTCCTCAGATCTTTGTTAAATATTACAAAAACCCAGAAGAAACCAAAAAAGCACTTTCAGAAGATGGTTGGTTTTCTACTGGTGATGTTGCACAAATCACTGATGATGGTAAGTTGACAATTATTGACCGTGTGAAGAATTTCTTCAAATTGTCCCAAGGTGAATATGTCACTCCAGAACGTGTTGAAAACGTCTATCTTTCCTCAAATTCAATCCTTACTCAATGTTTCACCCATGGTGACCCACTCCAATCTTTCCTTGTTGGTATTGTCGGGGTTGATCCTGCCAATATTGTCAACTATCTCAAGACCCAATGTCATGTTTCTGAAGACGAAGATTTATCCACTCCAGAAAAGATTTTGGAAGTATGTAATAGAAAACAAGTCAAGACAAGATTGTTATTGAATTTGAATTCGAATTTGAATGTGGATTTGAATGGGTATGAGAAGTTGAATAATATTTATATTGAGTTTGAACCTTTGAGATTGGATAGACAGGTGGTTACTCCAACTCAAAAGTTGAGAAGACCTATTGCTGCTAAGTTCTTTAAGAAACAGATTGATGAAATGTATGAAGAAGGTAGTATTACTAGACAACCTAAGTTGTAGATTTATATTTATATTTATATATATTTTTGTTTGCCGTTTGCTTTTTTTATATAGTGTTTTTTGAATAAAAGATGATAAGTTTAAGAATTGACTCAACTTGTTGTAATCATTTCTGATTCATAATACAGAGGAATTAGTATAGATCGAAGGCCATAATTGCCATGATAGAGAAACCTACGAGTAGCCTTTAAACCCCACATACAAGAAGATGGACAAGACACCTCCCATTTCGCACTTTGACAAATTCGAATAGCAGATCAACAAACTGTGGTGGATGAAGCCTAATTCTGGTTCTAAACTAATCCTTCTTGCCTGAAATCAGATAAAACTCAATCACACAAAGTAAACATTCTAATTTAGAATGAATAGTAAGTTCCTTTATTTTTTTTTTTGATTTTCATGTCTGGAGACGTGAAGGGAGAAATGCATTTACGCACGAGTTAACAGTGTGGGACTCGACCTTTCGGTAATACCCACTAAAACTCCCTTGAAACCCCCCAGTGAACCAATAAAATCCCCCAGAACCCATAAAATTGAAATTAACCGTTGCCCAAGCGGATAATTCAAATGATTGGAAAGTGCCATGCCTCACTATCCGAATGAAAGCCCCCAGAACCCATAAAATTGAAATTAACCGTTGCCCAAGCGGATAATTCAAATGATAAAATCCCCCAGTAACCCATAAAATTGAAATTAACCGTTGCCCAAGCGGATAACTCAAAGGATTGGAAAGTGGCATGGCTCACTATCCCAATAAGAACCCCCAGTACCCATAAGAACCCTCAGAAACTCATAATAGCCCTCAGAAACCCATAATATCCATCATATAAATTAACCGTTGCCCAAGGGGATAATTCAAATGATTGGAAAGTATAATCTCCCTCCAGGTCAACAATCTAGATTGAGTCAAGCCTTCTTCCCTGAAATCAGATAAAAAAAATCAATCACGCAAATTAGCCGCTAGCTAGTCGACTAATATAGTATGAAAGACTATAACCGACTCGTGAAATCCAGCCCAACCCTCTCCAAATTGTATCATCCCTGGTTCCCCATCTCCCATGTTGATGTTCAAAAGTGATCTTTTAATCTCTGATAATGATAGAAGTTGGAACTTTGATTTAAAAATATTTATGAATGAAATATGGTATAGATTGAAGGATAATGAATTGGATTTTTTTTGGAAATGATTCAATGATAATAATAAACATAACAAGGAAGACGACTGGAATTGTATGAATAGGATGAATGATAAGCGTAGTTGAATTTGATTTGAAGTTGTTGGTGGAAAGTAAAGAAGGAAAGTAAAGGATTGAATCTATATTTCTTATTTGTGGCAGTCTATAAATTTATGCTGCAAATTTTCTTTGTAAATCCTGGAACAACTGCGGAAAAATATTTATCAAACTTTGAGTCTCTTTTGTTAAGATCTTAAGACACAAGAGACAGTAAGAATTAATTACAGAGGATAATTAGTCTAAGTGATGTGTCCGGGAATGATATGATAACCCTTTGGTAATTAAATAGAGACAATTCATGGCAGCACATCCTTTCTTTAATTTATCTTATTGCCAAAAATCAATTTAAGGATGTAGAGAGCGAAAGAAACACATAGAATTAGATTATTTAGTGGCCGAAATAACTGCATAGGAATACATTTTTGATAACAGACCAATGGTTTTGTTTATAGCCACCTTCTTACCTTATGTGTGATCTTCCCAAATTCATCATTCAGGGATTTGGTGAGGCAGATAGTTTCAGATACGAATAATTCTGAGAGTTAAAGATGAGTCCAGACGACTCGTAAAGATACTTGACTGATGCTGATAACATACGTAATCAAGAAAAGACCTCTGTAATATCTTAAGTTTCATGGAACTTTGGGTTGATCCCTTGGTTTGCGCTACCATTTAATATTTTATGAAATACGACATTTACTAAAAATGTCGCAATTGAAAAATTTGTGAAAAAATGAATTTTCCCATCTTCCTTCTTCTTCTCTTTGCCTTTAATCAACAAACAACTTTACTTTACTTTGTCATCCACCAATTTACAACAACACACAACAACAATGGTATGTATAATCAATGCATCATCCCCTATCTATAACCGTACAATCAATACTAACATCCACCGCCCACTAGTCAACAACAATTGCCACTACGGCCACCACCACAACCAAAACCCTGGATTTACCATCGCTTTCCTTAATAGCAGCCCATTCCCACATCTCAGGTTTAGGGCTCGATGAAACCACCCTCCTTCCCAAAGAATCCCATCAAGGGATGGTTGGACAACTCCAGGCGCGTAAAGCCATGGGAGTGATTCTCAAAATGGTCCAAGCCGGAAAAATCGCCGGTAGGGGAGTTCTCGTCGCCGGCCCTCCACTGACCGGTAAAACCGCCATTGCGATGGGATTGGCCCAGAGTCTTGGCCCCGAGGTCCCATTTACGGCATTAGCTGCCAGTGAAGTATTCTCATTGGAATTATCAAAGACTGAATCGTTGACTCAGGCATTCAGGAAGAGTATTGGGGTTCGAATCAGAGAAGAGACGGAGATGATTGAAGGAGAAGTGGTTGAGATTCAGATTGATAGAAGTATTACTGGGGGACATAAACAGGGAAAATTAACTATTAAGACGACTGATATGGAGACGATTTATGAATTGGGACAAAAGATGATTGAAGGGTTGACTAAGGAAAAAGTATTGGCTGGTGATGTGATTTCGATTGATAAAGCCCTGGGAAAGATTAGCAAATTGGGGAAAAGTTTTACAAGGGCTAGGGATTATGATGCAATGGGTCCCGAGACTAAGTTTGTTCAATGTCCTGAAGGGGAATTACAAAAGAGAAAAGAAGTTGTTCATACTGTTTCATTACATGAGATTGATGTTATAAATTCTAGACAACAAGGGTTTTTGGCCTTGTTTAGTGGTGATACTGGAGAGATTAGACAAGAGGTTAGAGATCAAATTAATACCAAAGTAGCTGAATGGAAAGAAGAAGGTAAGGCTGAGATTGTACCTGGTGTTTTGTTTATTGATGAGGTTCATATGTTGGATATTGAATGTTTTTCATTTATTAATCGTGCATTAGAAGATGATTTTGCCCCTATTGTAATTATGGCTACAAATAGAGGATATTCAAGAACTAGAGGTACTAATTATAAATCCCCACATGGATTACCTATGGATTTATTAGATCGTTCAATTATTATTCATACTAGTTCATATTCCGCCGATGAAATTAGAACAATTCTTTCAATTAGAGCTCAAGAAGAAGAAGTTGAATTGACTGGAGATGCATTGGCCCTTTTGACTAAGATTGGACAAGAAACTAGTTTAAGATATGCTAGTAATTTAATTTCTGTATCTCAACAAATCGCTATGAAAAAGAGAAATGCAAGTGTTGAATTACAAGATATTAAACGTGCTTATATGTTATTTTTAGATTCTGATAGATCGGTACAATATTTACAAGAAAATTCTTCACAATATATTGATGATTCTGGTAATGTTACCTTTGGAAGTGAGGTAAAGACAGAGCAACCCCCAGCAGAACAACCCGCTGTTGAGCAACCTCCAGTTGAAGACGATAAGATGGAAACTGATTGATAGTTTATATATAAAGAAAAGTGTATATTTTAGTAATAATAATAAAACAAATAAAAGTAATGCAATGTGTAGTGTACTAGCAGTAGGGGGTGGTTTAACCACTTCCCTTGGTATTTAAAATCAAAGCAATAATCATTCCATATAATCCCAAAACTTCAGCAAAAATCAAAATCAACACAATCCCAACAAACAATCTAGGTTGATGCATAAACTGTCTCACCCCTTCATCTCCCACAATCCCAATTGCATATCCAGAAGCCAAACAACTGAAACCAACAGCTAAACCACAAGCTAAATGCATAAATCCATTAAATAAACTATATCCTTCCCCTGGGGCCAATCCACCCGCAATCAAAACAGCAACCACCAATCCATAGACTGATAAAATACCTGACATGACTACTGGAATCAATGATTTCATGATTAATTCGGGTTTGAAGGTCCCAATACCGGCAATACCTATACCTGATTTGGCGGTACCAATGGCAGCTCCTGCTGAACTTAACATCATGGCAGCTGCACATCCACCAAAGCCTAAGAAGGGGGCGAATGCAGGGTAGTATTCATCTCCTAAGACGTCTGACATTTGATAAACTATCAGCTTTTGTAGTAAATGTCCAATTAATAATTGAATTGAATTGAACTCTTTATTGAAATATCATGAATTGGAAATGAAAGAATGAAAGGAAAAATTGAAATTAGAAAGGAAGGAAAATACGACATTAAAATTAGGACATTTATTGAAACGTATAATGTCGCAATATAAACTCAATTTTATAAACAAACCACAACAATTCATTTCTTGTTGTTCTTGTTAGGTAGTCTGTTTATAGAAACAATAAGAGAAGATGGATCAAATTGGACATAACAAGAAGATACAAATATCCAAAAGTGACTTGCAATACATTCATACCAATTTACTAAATCGAATACATGCAAGACTAAATGTTATCCTCCCACAATCATCCACCACCACAACAATAGACCCATTGAAAACAGAAGTCAGTAACCTATTACAAAAATTCCTTCTAAATTCCCTCGACAAAGCCAACAACAGTCTCCTAATCGATGGAAGACAAGTTCATTCATTATCCAAAACACTATCATCCAATACACCTGAAAACATTGAACCATTTAATAATGAGTTAAATAAACAATTAAGAAAAGTAGTTAGAGATGTCGAAAAGGAAACTATAACAGTATCAAAAATGAGAAAAGAGTATCCTAAATTGATAAGAAAGGGATATAAACAAGTAGCAGAATCTACCGATATGAAATTAACGAAGTATTTACAAGAACAAGAGCTTAAACTCCAAGAACAAAAACAAAAACAGGATATTGAGGAAGATAATGATGATGATGAGGTTGATTATGAGGAATTGAAAGTTGATTATATTGAGCATGTGAATAGGTTGGATAGGGTGAAAGATGGATTACCTGGGCTAAAAGCTGAATTTGATCAGATTGATCAGACGATTTCGTTTCTTGATTCGGAATATGAGAAATCTAAAGAACTGAGGAATAAGAGAAGGAAAACGAGTAGTTGATAATTCTACACATATTTTATAACAAGCTAGCGCATAAATGCCAAACGAGATACAGGTCATTCCTTTTTGAAGAACTGATAAAGGTAATAAAATCACATTAGATTTACCCTAAGGAGATGACCCCTTGGTCTTACAGGTATCTTGGGGGTCGTAATTGAGCATATTAAATGGTTACTGATGAATTGATTCGCAATATTCGATATTGACTAGGTAGAAGCGTTGTACCATTAGAATACCTATGTATTCAAATATAGATTAAATTCATATTCTATGTCTAGCTGTAATACTGTAAAGTTCTTTTGTGTTCAAAGCTTTGATTCGGTTGTAAGCATAATCCGAATGAACATAACCTTTGAACGAAAGCCTTCATATCGTGTCCAGACTTGTATACTTCCAGCTTTGACAATCAAGTTCAAACTGTATACTAGGATTCGGATCACGTGACAATGTATAACTTTTCAAGTGTATGGGATCCACCTCCAATCTCTTTCCTTTCTTAATATCTCCATAGATTGGACCTATTAGAGTAAGCAAGTAGTATAGTGCTGCAGCTTAGGTTAGTTATACCGAGGACGTTCCTTTGTAGAATGTCGCATTTGATATTCAATGTTTTATCAAGAAATGTTGTCTTTGTTAAGATGGGAATTAGTGTATGTTTTGATTCTTCCCAATTAGGAAATGATATAAACATAAACAACAAAAATCATTTTCTTCACACTAAACTAAAAGAAGTTAAGGAACCAAGAAGCTTAAACGAAAAGAGAAGAATTCTCATCTTCAATCTTTCATTTCTTTCATTTCCTTTCTTCATAAACTAATATATACAAAATAGTATTACTACCATTGACTGACTACTGATGATGACTTCACCTTCACCAGTTAAAAACATTGTAGCTAAATACCTAGAAACATTAAACAATGATGATACTACCAATAATAGCAGAAGTCCACTTCAACCTTCATCTAAAGTAAACACAGTTACAAAATCACCATATAAACTAAAGGATAATGATTTGGATACTTTAGCAAGACAATTAAATATACCCACCAACATGAACGAACAATCACCAACTAAACTTTGGAGAGCTAAATTTGAACAACCTTCAGTCACAATTTCTGCATTTAAACATAGTCCTCAGAACAATAACAGCAACAAATCATCTACAAGTAGTCATAATAGTAATCCTGATTTTGAAAGAACATCAGATGAAAGTCCAAGTTGGGCCAATAAGAACTATAAAGATATCTTAAATAAATCACCCAAGAAAATGATTGAAAATGCTGGTGCTTTAGCAGCCGCTGCTGCTGCTGTTGCTAATACTCCTGGGAAATTACGTCCATTAAGAGATCCAATACAAACTCCATCCAAAAATTATTCGTCATCCCCAAATACCACTACTAGAAAAGCAGTTCCACCAAGACCATATTTGAATTCTCCAAGTAATAATTCCTCAAGGGATTCTGCAGGATATGAATATTTATGTCGAATTGAAGCAATTAGAAGATGGTTAGAACAAGTCTTACAAGAACGAATCATCCAATCACCAGCTGAATTGATCTCATATATCAGAAATGGAATTCATTTAGCAAAATTAGCAAATATTATATTACCTACTCAAAGAAAAGTATTCTTAAATGATTCAAAATTACAATTTAAACATACTGAAAATATCAATCGATTCTTTCATTTATTAGATTTTTTGAATGTGCCTGATTTATTTCGATTTGAGTTAACAGATTTATATGATGCTAAAAATGTCCCCAAGGTTTGGTTTTGTTTACATGCATTGAGTTATATTTTGAATAAAACATCTGATTTAGAAGTACCCAAAATTGAATCATTGGTGGATAAGTTAGATTTTGATGATGATGATATTAGAACTGCCAATAGGGCACTTGTAGGGGCACCATTACCGAATTTTTCAAGTGCTGATACTGGTGAAAGTGACGATGAATCGGGGAATACATATATGACAAAAGTAGCACCTTCTCCAACTAAGAAAATAACAATCAATACTCCACTGCCAATCAAGAATCAAATAACCCCATCTTCAATCAAAAGACAACCAGAATATGATCCATTTATTGATCACAACACACCCACAATCACAAAACAAGCAGAAATCAAACTATCCCCAATCCAACTCCCACCACCAATGTCCCCACCACCAAAATTCGAACTTCCAATTCCTTCTCCAATCATAGAACGAGAACCCACACCACCACCCGCCACTCATCCAGAACTCGAAAAACAACTCATAAATATCATAAAAATCCAAGCCCTCTCAAGAGGGGCAAATCTCCGATATAAGATGTTTGCCAATAAAATCCTCCTAAAATCCTACCAAGATGAATTCACTACCTTGTTTGCGATAATTAGAGGAAATATGTCTCGTTGTAAATCAGTGCATCGTCATCGTGCGGAATTGAGAATATATGAGGATGAAATTGTGGGATTACAGCTGATTATCAGGGGTGGATTTTTGAGAAAAGAAAAGCCTGAGTTTGATGTTGGTGAGATGGGTATTGTGGGATTGCAGAGTGTTATGAGGGGAAAGATTGTGAGAGATGGGGTTGGGGAGAAGATAGCCATGTTGAGGGGGGCTGAAGATGAGGTAGTTGATTTGCAATCGTTGATTAGAAGGAAGGATGTTTGGAAGAATTCAAGCAGATTGATTAAGATTGGTAACGAATATATTGGACGTATTGTTGAATTGCAGTCAGTTGCTCGTAGGAGAATATATGAAAGGTTTGCAGCTCGGGTTTTTATTGATGAAAAGGTGATTATTGGATTACAATCGATTATTAGAAGGAATTTGATTATTAATGATATAAACGAAAAACACTCCCAGATTAGAAACAACAAACGATCAATCATCGAACTTCAAAGTATTGCAAGAGGAGGAATTTCCAGAACTCAAGTCTGCAACAATGTTTTAGTCACATTAATCTACGAAGATGGGAAATTAAACAACCTATATGCAAAAATCCGAGGCAACAACCTCCGTCGCAGCATCTCCCTCCAAAAACAACAACTCTACCATTATTCCCCACAAATCCTCCAACTCCAATCCATGTTCCGAGGAATCCTATGCCGTTTCTCCCGAGAAATAAAACTCGACGACATCTATACCCATATCTCCCCATTAATCCGTCTCCAATCAATCGCCAGAGGATCCATCCAACGTCGTCAAGTCGCCCAACTCCACCAATACTACCATAACAACGTTGATAAAGTCATTCACGCCCAGGCATTGCTTCGTCGAGCATTGGCCCAATCAGCATACAAACAACTCATCAACACCAAAAACCCATCCCTTTCAATCATTCGCAAATTCGCACATTTATTATCTGCCAGTGATGGGGATTATCGGGATGAAGTCGAGCTCTCACAGGCTCGTGATATGATTATTGAAAGCTCAAAGAGGAATGAAGAATTAGAAGGTCAGATTGAGGCGTTGGATATTAAATTGAGTTTATTGGATCGGAATAAGATCACAATTGAGGAATTTGCCATGCCGACAACTACGAGATTTAATAAGAAGATGGGTACTATTAAGAATTCAGGTGGGAAGTATGTGGGGGCTAATAAGTTATTAGATCGGTTGAATAAGAGTTCAAGACAACGGATTGAATTGTATCAGACATTGTTTTATTTATTACAAACCAAGCCGGAATATTTTGCGAGGTTGTTTAATTCATTGGATTATAGTCAGGTTGATTCTAGGTTATGTTCTGATTTGATTAGTAATATTATTCAATTGTTTCCTAACATTGCTATGAATGGGAGATCGAGAGAAGAGTTTTTTTATATGATGTTAATTATGGAATTAATGAAGGGAGATATTGCTCGGGCTAGAAATAGTGGAGATATTACCAAGACTCAATCGAGTTTTTGGATTGGTTTCTTTTTGAGGTTCAATAATCATACTAGACAACGACAACAACTTAAAGCCATAACTGGAAGATTCGTGGCTAGGATAGTTGATCAAGAAGAATTAGATTTCGAATCAGATCCATCTATAATTCATGCAAGTTTATTAGATCATGAAACAAAGATTCGTGGACATCATACCGCTGAAATCTCACCTCAAGTAGCAATCAAGATCCCACAAGTTTCATCTAAATTTGTCAATAACTTAATGTCTCTCCGTGAAGCAGCTACAGAAATGATAAATATCATTGGATCAAACCTCACCCAAATCCCAATTCATGTCAGATTAATCTGTAAACACGCCTACGAACAATCCAAGATCCATTTCCCAAACAAATCCGACCACCAACACCTAGCAGTCGCAGGAGTCATCTTCATCAAACACTACATCTCCACCATCCTAAACGTACCCGAAAACTTCGGAATCATCCCCAAAGATCCATTCAACCCACGAGTATCTGCCAACACCAAACCAAGGGATAATTTACGTCACTTAAGTCGGGTCTTACTTCAATTATTCTCAATGAAACCATTTTCAGATAATTTTTTAAAACCATTAAACGACTATATCGCCACATCTTCCGAATCCATCCAACACCTAATCCATGAATTGATTGCTGTTAGGGATATAAAACATGAATACAACTTGAATGAATATGTCGATATAGTAAATCGTGATCGACCAGAACTTGTCATAAAAATAACCACCTTGATATCATTGGAAAAGACCGTATCCCAGAACATCGACATCATGGCCCCTGGGCCAGATGATCAATTGTTGAAGGTTGTGAATGAGTTGGATAATTTAGTAGGATCGCCCCAGGATTTGGTGACGTTGAATGATTTGGGATCAATTGTGTTGAATTTGAATCCGATTACTAATCAAGAGTCGATGGTTGATTATAGGGCCAGAACGTTGTTTATGCAGGTGAAGAGGTGTGTTTTGTATATTATTAGGATTCAGCAGGAGAGTAATGATTTATTAGAGTTGTTGATTTCAGGGATTAGACCAGAACATGAATTGATGTTTAAGAAGATTGTGGAGGAAGAAGCTAGAGAATTGGCGGTTTCGGATATGAATAGGAAGAAGAAACCATATTATCAAACTTCACTTGGTGATCTATCTAAGATTACTTATCATGATTTGAAAAAGATGGCACTTGAGAATCTCCTTCAATTAGAATCAATGGGTGAATTAACCAGAAAGAATTCATTCCAAGAAGTATTGAATCAAATTGTACTTGATATCAAAACCAAGAAAATCCAAAGAGATAATAGACGGGATCAATTATTGGTAGCAACTACAACTGCCACTAAATTGGCGGAAAAGGAACAATTCTTAAAGAAACAATTAAACGATTATAATAATCACATAGATACGATCCTTACCCAACTCCAACTGAACAAAAAACCACATGATAAGAAATTATTTAATATAATTCCAATTTTTAGTAAACAATATTTCTATCATCGTGAATTACGTAAGAGGAATAGATTACCCAGGTTTGGATCATATAAATATTCAGCAAAGAAATTAATGGATCAAAAGATTTTAATCAATTTTGGAGGATTTATGATGAATTTCTCCGCCAGAACTTCGAAATTGGATTTCATGTTTAGTTGTCATAGTGTCGGTAGGTTTACTATTGAAGCTGCTAGTGGATCGGTGGCTATCCCTGGGGCATCTACTGTTATTACATTGGATGAGTTGATTAATTTACAATATGAGAATAAGAAGAGAGTGGAGATGTTTGATGGAATGGCGGTGTTTGATTCTGATAATTTTATGGGATTGATCTTTAGAAAGTTTTATGATATAAAGAGAGATTAATTATGTAAGTAATATTGTTTATAAAATGTCTTATAATAGTGAAATAATAGTTATACAAATAGAACAAATACATATATTGTAGTAAAGTAATACAAAAAGCAACAAAAAGCGTTTAATTCTTATTCAAGAATTCATCAATCTTTGATTCCAAAGCTTGTAATCTTTCATCCTTTTCTAAACCAGCTTGAGTCAATTTTTGGACTTGTGCTTCTAAATTCTCAACGAGTCCAGCTAATTTCTCAATAGTGGAAGCTAAAGTTGGCTTAGCAGAAGCTTTAGGCTGTTGGGCAGATGCTGGAGATGATTCGGTAGATTCGACAGTTGGAGTTGCTTGCTTTGGCAGTTGTAATTTTGGTTCTTCCTTTGGTTGTTCAACCTTTGCTTCTTCAACCTTAGGTTGNTTTGGTTCTTCAGCTTTAGCTTCTTCCTTTGGCTCTTGCTTTGGTTCCTCCACTTTTGGTTCTTCAACCTTAGGTTCTTCCTTCTTTGGAGAAGGGATCGACTTCACATCCGATTTCTTCACCTCTTCCCAACTATCATCATCCTTATCATCACCTTCATGACCCGCCTCTTCGTCATCGGAAGCATCAACCACTTTATTAAGCAAACTATTAACTTTGCTTGAAGACTTTAACAAATCATCAACATTTCCACCAGGTGTACCTGTTCTAGAAGGTGGAGTTTGTTGCGTAGCTTCTGGTTTTGGAGTGGATTCTTCTTTTTCAAGTTTTTCTTTTTCTTGTTGTTCTTTTTCCTTTTGTTCTGCTTCTTGTTTAGCTTCAGCAACCTTGACAACCGGTTTGGATTCATGAACTTGTGGTTCAGTTCCATCAAAGATAGCTTCCATGCTCATTAATAATGGACCATTAACTTCTTTCCCACTAAGCCATTCATCAGCAGTAAGGGCAGGTTGAGTAGATGGACAATCAGGATAGATATCAGCTTGGAATAATTCTGATCTTCTAGGAACAATAAAAGAAATTGCTTCAATCGAGTTATCAAATACTGTTTTATAGGCTCTGGTAATTTCATTTTCATGAACATTAACTGAATGTTTTGGACCAACTGCAAATCCACGTTGTGGATCAGTTGAAGAAAATTGAGAAATTTCAAATAAATTATCATTTTCATATTCATAATAACGAATATTCCCATCACCTTTACCTGCAAGATAAAGAATTGAAGTTTGAGAATCGAAATAAGGAATTAATACACCCGAAGAAGCATCAATTTGGAAAAATCCTTCAATTGGTCCACGTTCAATGGCATGAATATCCCAAATCCCAATTTGTCTATCGGATAAACGAGAAAACCCGGTAGTTACAATACGATCAGTATTACCTAACCAAGTGACTCTTGAAGGTTTAGCACCAGTATGGCCAGGACCTTCTGAGATTATTTTACCTGATCTAATATCCCAAACTCTTAATTTCTTGTCTCTAGAAGTAGTTGCTAATAAAGATCCATTATAATTGAAAGCAAATGAAGTGACTAAATCTTTATGTTGTAAGGTGATTTCATCTTTTCCTGTTTCAGTATTCCAAATCTTAACAGAATAATCTAAAGAAGAAGAAGCAAGGATATTGGAAGCACATGGATGATAAGCAACAAGTCCAACTTTTCTAGTATGACCACTTAAGATTTTCTTTGGTTCTGTAATATCCTTAATATTATCATCCTCATCAACATATTTATGAAATGAATAATCCAGAGGGATTTCCCAAATTAAGATCTTTCCATCTTCCGAGCAGGAAGCAACTTCTTGTTTATTGAAATCGTTAAAAGCAGTATCTAATACTGGACCTTTATGACCTCTAAACAATGGAACTGTATCCGGTGCTTTACCAACTTCATTAACTGGAATGATTGCAAATGCACCACCACCGGAAGCATCCCAATTTACAGATAAATATTTCCCATTTGAATGAATAATGTTTGAATCCCAAGCATTTTTAGTAATCTTTAAGTTTTCATAACATAATTCCTTTTTGGAAGGTTGACCATAAACATGACGATATTTTGAAGCTCTCACAAATTTACCACTGTAATAAAATTGATCAATTGAGTTAGTATTGCTTTAGGGGGAAATATATTATCAATACGTGTAGTGTACTTACCTCATGGTTGTAATTAAATATGTGTGTTAGTAGAAGGGGTTGTAGTTTCCTATCTATAAAAAGAAGATAGATAGAAAGAAAGTGAATGGTTTGGTGGTGGTTTGTTGGAGATTTCCATTTTTGGACAATTTTTTCAAACACGAATAATGTCGCATGAGGTTTACGCGGTTTACGTCATGTCGCATTCACAAGCACGAGACATTCAATTACACAACAAAACTTCAACTATTGCTGCAACAACACGTTTCAATTTGCAAAAGAATGACCTTTGTTAGATTCATATACTAGTTCTTACTTCTTCTAATTAGGTTAATAAATGATTGTGAAAAAGATGCTTGGAGACTTTGATGTTCCTAGAATAATTCAGTTGACTTCCAGCAATTCTTTCGTTTCGTTCACGGGTTCCAACTGATCTAACACATTTACAAAGCGTCAATAAAGCACCAAACATTTAAATATAGTTTACTTCAACCACTTTAAGCCATTTTGCAACAATCTGAGTATATACTCATATACTTTAAAGCTAGTACAACTTAAACCACAAGCCTTAAGACCCAAAACGACTATATGCAGTACCCGAAAGTTTTGACAGTGGAAATGGATAGTTTCAATTTGTAAGATGCAAAAGTTGTTACAATTGATTCTAGAAATGAGAACTGATCAACAAGCCGAACTTGCTCATAGTATGGTGGTAGTGAGCCAACCTTGAACCTATGTCACTTCCTTAACCCCCCAGTCGAATCAAAGAAATATCACGTGTCATCAGACATCAGTATTGGCAATGAAATTGACCAGGTTTTAAACCAATACTTAGATAGATACCAGCAAGTCAAATTTGAAATGTTGTTTACTTTCCTTCTTCAATGTTGAAAATACCCATCTGAAAGGAGCTTCTAAAAAACAAACTAGATCCTTTCCTAGCTAAGGCTAGATTCACCTAAAAAAAGAAGGTTGGGCATGGTTAGTAGATATAGTCCCTTACTTCCCTTCTGGATATGATTATATGATAGAAATGGTTGGGATATGTGAATGAATGATTGTGGTAATTAATGAAAGGAGAAGAAAGAAAGAATGAAAAAGAAAACACAAATAAAATTAAAATTCTCTAAAGGATTTCTACGGATATATATATATTTGTTCATACTCTTTGCAATTTTAGTTTGGTCAATTTTGCAACCATACATATTGCAATGAATTTTCCACAAAATTTTAGGTTTGCAACCCATTTTACTACCAAATTTTATATATAATTACATTGAAGTTTGCTAATAAACTTTATTGCAAACATCCTTAAGTATATGCTACATTTACAGTAAATGAGGTTGTTGAAACTTTCAACAATTACGTAGTTTTATATCAACAATTCCACATTCTGGAGGAATATTCTGATGAAAAATTTAAAATTAAGTTTGACAATATTTTTTCACTATAAATGTTCAAATTTATTTTTAATAAAGTTTTGTTCTTATTGATGATGACGATGATAGATTATTTTGATATACTGATTGTATTTTTTCATGCATACCTTTTTGATAGAAACCTATCAAAACCAATAAAGATAATAAGATTGATATCAATATTGCAATATTTGCACTTCTTCTAAGAAAGAGAAGACTACCTGTCTTAGATGGCATACCTGTCATAATGAAATGTCGCGATTTATTCAATACTACCAAAAAGACAAAGAAATCAAGTTGCAAAAAGCTTAAAAAGAAGTGTGTAAGAAATTAGATACATATATATATATATAAGCAGAAACATCGAGAGAGAGTAATCTTGTATTATTTATACAAATATAGCCTTTTTCATATTGTACGTGGTTTAAACCATGACTACTTTTTTAACATATGAGTATTATGTAAAAAATAAAAAACAAGAAAAAGAAATACGAAATTAAATAAGGGATTGGTAAGTGAGTGAGAGACGGGTTTCTGGCAACTAGAACATTGAAATAATCACATGAATATAGTGATTGAATGGAGCGTCGATCACTGCAGTGAAGGTAATGTTTAGTTTAAAGTATTGAATCCAAAGGAATGACTCTCGAAAACAGGAACGAGTACCAGGGTATGAGTTACGGAGAATAATAAAGTTGAGTTCCGTTACGAAGAGAAATAAAGTTTAGCTCCAAACTTAGGAGTTAAGAAAAAGCTTATTCTAGTTGATTCACTCAGAGTTATTTGGAAGGTCACCAAAGAAATGGGAATCCCGTCCCAGTGTTTCTATGCAAAGAAATTAGTTCTGTGGAAAAAGGATCAGGGTTCAAAAGAATTGCAATATTTGAGGAACCCCTGATCAGTGAAATTATATTTTAGGTAAGTATCTTTCTTTTCAACTTCAATGATTACTAAAGATACCAATTATAGGTTAGACAGTTAAATATAGGAACCACTACGTCTATAAATAGGACAATGAATACCTTTTCTCTGATCCAGGGAATCTCTAGTTCCTTAAATATTACTATTCTGTTGAACCCTTATTCCACAGAACTAATTTCTTTGCACAGAAACACTGGGATGGGAATTCCCTTTCTTTCGTGACCTTCCAAATAATCTGAGTGCATAGTTAGGGGTTCCACCATAGTGCCGAAGTTGGTCAAGGGATTCCATATCATCTCTAACCTACATTCCCATGTCTGTAACATTTGTATTTAAACTAAAGATCTGTGAAGGCTTATAGCTGTTAAAAAGTGAAAAAATAGTGGGTTTAGCTCAAGTGATTAGCTCACTATATTGGGTTGAGGTCTCACCTTCTCTCCCCGATTGGAACCCAAGGGTCGGAACGTTTTTAGGGTGTCCCGTCTGAGGATTAGAAAGACAATAATCAGTCTTAGGGCAATAAAACATGGCCCTCGGGAAAAACAACATGCTCCTAGTGACCACCAATAACATGGAAAAATTCCTCAATATGTATCCTTATAAAAATCACCATACAAATGCCACTTTAAGCATCAATGTTTGGTGGCCCTGGTAACAATTATTGCATTCAATCACTCCCATAAAGTAGAATTCCAATCGCACTTTCAATACTACTTTTCGTGCTCGAATCATGCATGTGGTAGACCCACCCACCGTCGGGCCAATGGCCACCAAGGGAGGCAAATTTAAAGATGGGGGTGGGGGGAGATAGAATTTAATTGGTAGTTTTAGTTTTGTATAATGTTTCTAGTTGTGCAAGTTTTCAAAACAATTGCAAAATTTGTTGCAATTTGTGCACAAGCCAAAAAAACATATAATTCCCACTGAAAACAAAACTATTTGTGTTTTCTTCTTTTTCTTTTTCTTCTTTCTTTAACTACTACAATCATTCACATCTCAATCAAAAACAAGACAGTAGTATGTATATTTACCGTCAATCAAGTTCACTAGCCTGAAGCTAGGAAGGCGGCCACTTTCGACAAATCCCTTCAGATGGGTATCAGTAGTTGATGCCTGTCTAAATGCAATACCTGGTCAATCTTTGTCTTCAAAACGAAGTGCTCGTTTGAGCGGTTGACTGGGGGGTTTAAGGAAGTGTCATAGGTGCAAGGTGGCTGACTACCATCACACCATGTAACGTGCTTCATCTTGTGAAAAGAGGGGTCTAACAAGACTCAGTCATCCTTTTCGGCAAGATAGCATGTTGAGCAGTTTTCAATACAGCTTTCGGCTCATTGAAACTCTCCACTCCACCCGTCACAATTTTCCAACCCTGCATATAAGTATTTTGCTTCTTAACGCCCCAAGGTTCTGCTTATAATAGTTTAAATCAATATCAATTTGTAGCGAGTAGACGTCGAAATGAGTTCATGTAATTAGATGTGATATAGGAATAAAATTGGTTGTGTACTAAGCAAAAATTTTCGTGGCTGAAGTTGATTTGTATATGGAAACAATGGAAGCTCGAATGGGTATTGGGAATGACAATTAACTTTGTGGTATAGTCACGACATTGCACTTAAATATGTCGGTTTCGTGACTATTATGACACGGCCGAAAACCCACAAAGGACAAGAAATCACTTGATGACATCCACGATCAAAGGTATTAAATTGGTGTTAATATAAAGCAAGTATGCCCCAATTTTATATAAATTTCGTAGTTCTTATTTAGTATGGAAGTATGGAAAATTTAGAGAAACAAAATGAATCCTAATTTAAGAATACTTTGAGTATCATTGAAGATACAGAGTAGATTCCATCGATGGAGCTAAGTGAAGATGTTTACCAGTTTGAGACCATTAAGTCGAATCAGTCATACTTCTATTAAGTCAAGCGGCAGTTCTCGATATGGGCGCAACTCCCACGAAGAGGATCTCAGAAACTGGGTCGCTCGCACTCATAGACAAATGACGAAACTATACGACAACGTTAATGTACATTATTACTATGAGTACATGCATTGCTTAATTCTACCACTAAAACAGCTGTAATTATACATGCACAGCTTGGTTTAAAGTAAAAAATATGCTTGATTTATAAAACTGACCTATAATTTATAGAAATAAATACAAATTAATGAAGCAGGTGATGTGCTACAACATTTGGCATACCCCAACAACTATAACCCAATGGCTTTGCCAAATAACATAAACCTTCAGTCTCTATTCCATCATATCCTTCTGATCTATCCCAAGAAGTACCAATAATATTACTAGTTGGGAAGATTGCTCCTTGTTTGTAAACAACCGATTTAGCAAACAAAACAGCCCCTCCAACAGAGTCCAATGGTACAATATAATCATGTTCATCTTTATGTTTGGTATGTTCTTGATGATTATCGTCTACATAGGATTGGAAATGCCACATTTTATCGTCCACATCATAAGGAACATATCCCCATTTATCCCATTGATTTTTATCCATGAGATCTAATTCTTCTTGAGAAGGTTTCGTTCTTTGACCTCTCCATGAGTTTTTGTCATAATCTTGATTGCCACCTCTGGTGACTCTAGGAACAATAATATCCTTTTCGGTTTTAATGAACGTAGAAATTACATTTTCGGGATAATCAAAGAATACAACATCTGCATCAAGGAAGAAAGTATATTGCTCATCTTCTAAGACATTCAGTAATAAGAAATTTCTTGATTTAGCAATTAAACGACGTCTTAATCTTTGAATATTATCCAGTTGTCTTTCTTCTCTTGAAAACCCGGCATTTTTATCTAAGAATGGTGCCAGGATAAGTGTAATCTTTTCATAAAGTTTTGAAAGTTTATCTGAATTAGTTTCAATATAATTTGTAATATTTGCAAATTCTATTGGGTTATTACATAATAATCCCAAACTGATTCTTAATCTATTTTCTTGATGTGATGAGATTGAATTAACGGTATGGACAAAGTCTCCAAAAGTACGCGCTTGACCATATGGTTCACTTTGACCAATGGAAGAAGCTATTAAGACGGTTGGTTTCTCATGTGGTTGTGAATGAGTTCTTAATTGTTTTGGAATTGAATGAAGATTTAAAACTGAATATTGAATTCTGGTATAATTAAATGTAGTGTCTTCATGTACAAATTTATTATAATGTGATTTTGTTCTTATTGATGATGATGATGATACATTAATTTGATATACTGATTGTATTTTTTCATGCATTCCTTTTTGATAGAAACCAATCAAAAGTAATAAAGATAATAAGATTGATATTAATACCGCAATATTTCCTCTTCTTCTAAGAAAGAGAAGACTACCTGTCTTAGATGTCATACCTGTCATTATGAAATGTCGCGATTTATTCAATACTACCAAAAAGACAAAGCAAATAAAGAAATCAAGTTGTAAAAGCTTAAGAAGAACTTTATATAAACAGAAACAGAGAGAGAGAAGTAATATTATATTCATACGAAATTACTTAAAGGTATTGCAAAGTTGCTAATTTCGCATGTTAAAACTATTATTTTTTAAGAAGAACAATTAGGCTTGTCAATTTTTATTTTTAATTTGAAATTTTCTCAAATTTTATTTTTAGATTTTATTTTTTTGCTTCCGTAAATTGTAAAAGTATGAATACGATTCGTGCAGGGTCTTATCTATCTAGTCTATCCAGACATCCAGACATTATCTATCTAGTCGCAAGATAATCATAAATTATAAATTGCGTTGCTTACCCTTTGTATTGTAGAAAAGTCGGTCCTTAATAATGTATTGTTGTTTTTTAAAGCATACATATAGAAGATAAGGGAATTTGAGGGCATTTTATAGTTGTGACTTTGTCTGGGAACCAATAAATAACCAATTTTTTTTTTGGCTGATACAACAATTTATTCTAGTCGTTATACATAATAACATACACAGAAATATAATAAATAGATACACAATTAGAGGAACAAATAAAATGGGTCAACATATGATGCAAAAAAACCTCTTATAAGCAGCAATTCTATTAGGTGTAGCATTTTGAAAAGATGAGTTTATGAATTTCCAGTAACTACGAACACGTAGAAGTTATTAGAGCAGCAAAGGGTCGAGACTAGTTAAATCAACAAACCGCATCGCCATCCATATGTAGGGATTATCTCACACTTTGTAATATACTATCTATTCAAAAATCATAACTAATACTAAGAATAAGAAATAGACACTCCAATAGATAAGTATGTGTTATCCAGTCGTTTACTATACATAGTTCGAAATGACATGGCTATAACAATGAAACTAAACTTCGAACAATTTCTACTAATAAAATAGAAAGAAACCATTTATGTGCGTGTACAAATGAAATCGATTGATTGCTTTTGTCTATTGTTTCAATCAAGCCAAGCATTTCTTTCTTATCTGATACATTCAATAGCTGCCACGTTCTTTTTGCTGTCATAATTTATATTGATGAATATATTATCCAGAACCTTTTCGTTTGTCTCGGGTTGTATTCTTCTTTTTTATCTCCAACGTGCATAGCCAATCTAATTATAAATAAGAACAACAGAACCCACACCTACGCCACGCGGTTACAAATATATGTATATACATAACTGGATCATTACAAGAAACAACAGTTTCTATGTGATGTGTACTTACTTCATTTCAAATAGATTTATTTTTGAACAAATCACAAATATAGAACAAGTAAACCAGAAAAAGCCATTATAAGCCCCCCTCTCCGCCCGCAACATGCAATTTTCAAATGATTTTATAACCACAGGGTATATCGCCAATTCCCATTTATTAAGTGCCGTACTGAAGAA